TGAAGGTAGAAACATCATCTTTCACGGTGGGTAAGCACCTAATACTATCAAAAAGGCAAATGCGCTACTTGGGTGTGACACTAGACGATAGACTAAACTTTGGCGAACACGCAGAATACATTTCCAACATCGGCATCAGCGGAAGTGGCAATGGTGGTTGCTGGTATGGTACCGATTTCGATTCAGGCTGAAGAATCCGCGCGTATCATAATGCGAAGGGAAAGCAGCACGGAAACAGACACTAAAGCTGCTTCTATTAAAGAACAAAGAACCGTATCCATTCAAAAATGGCAAGAGGGATGGGAAAGAAGCACCAAGGGAAGGTTGACGTACACCCTGATTCCAAACCTTGTAAAATGGGTAAGTCGTACGCATGGATAAGTAAATTTCCAGCTAACGGCATATACCGAAGCTACCTGCACCGATTTGGACACGACAACTCGCCGCTTTGCCTAATATGTAACGTAGCAGAAGATACGTGCCACGTGGTCTTCAGCTGCCCGCGCTTCAACGCCCTTAGAACAGAACTAGCGGATCTGACAAATACAACGCCGCTTCCGCAAAATATGGTAGACATCATGCTCACCTCCGAAAGTGTGTGGACAGCCGTCTGCAACATAATTGCGAAGATACATAAGCTGCTACGTGAGACGGAAAACAAGCGCCGATATGTCCTACGAACTTTATCTATGGCAAGGTATATATACGCATGAATGACCTCGACATAAGCGAAGGTGGGTGACGTTTAGCAGACCCAACATGGGTGGGGTACACTGTCACAATATAAACTCAAAGGGGGGTGACGGGGTTAAGGCTTTCGATGCTTCCTCCTCTGAAAAAAAAATGTGCATACATACGTACATATGTATGTATAAAGGGGTGTCATAAATTTTTTCTATTTGTTAAGCTATTCCTACCTAAAACTATTCATTAATACTCCAATTCTCGACTTTATATATACATACATATCCGTGGAGATCTCAAAAATCAATATATACGAAAATCGTATTACCGCGATGCCGGACCAAACGGCTGAACCGATTTCGATTCTGTAAAAAGCACAATTTTGGAACTTTTGTTTGAAAGGTTTTTCGTAAAAAAAATCAAAACTTTTTGTTGTTGCTCCCAAAAAATTATAAAAGCTTAGAAGTCACGATTTCAAAATTTCGTTGTATTATATCGCTAAAATACTAAACCGCTAGACCGATTTGGTTTATACTTGAAGCATATGTCAACACTTTGAAAAGAAATATAATAATAATAATAGATTGGCGCTAACACATATGTTAGTGTTTGGCCGAGCTTCTCCTCCGATTTGTGGCGTGCGCCTTGATGTTGTCACACAAAGCGGAGGGACCTACAGTTTTACGCCGACTCCGAACGGCGATTCTATTTTTATGAGAAGCTGATTTTCAAGGCACAAAAACCCTCGGAGGTTTTCCATTGCCTGCCAAGAAATATATCGATCAAAAATTTACTCGCTAGGTGGCGCTGGGGTCGGGATATTCCTTAAACCTGCATATACTTGCCAATTTGGCTCATATTTAGGACAGGAGAATAAATATTTGGACTAAAAAAATTACACGATAGTTGTCCAATTTGATAGCGATATCAAAAGCGATTGAAATATCAAGTTTTGAAATGCAATGTATTGAGTCACAATCAGGATCACGATTTGTCTATATTTATCGTTGTCTAAGAAATTTATAGTTACAGGNATACTTGCCAATTTGGCTCATATTTAGGACAGGGTTAGCCAATAGAGAATAAATATTTGGACTAAAAAAATTACACGATAGTTGTCCAATTTGATAGCGATATCAAAAGCGATTGAAATATCAAGTTTTTAATATTCATCACGATTTGTCTATATTTATCGTTGTCTAAGAAATTTATAGTTACAGGAATTAATCGATTAAGTACTTTTCGAATTTTTTTGGGTTATCGAAATTTATCGAGTTGTCGAGTAACGAAATTTATCATAGTGTTCGAAATGGATAGTGACATAAAATTTTACAGTTACCAGAACTTATTGAGTTATCGATATTTATCGAGTTATCGAAATTTATTTGGTTTTAAAAACGTGTCCCCTCATCGAAATTTAACTTCACCGAAATGTATGGAGATATAAGAATTTATGGAAATGGGTGTACTTATCACAATGCATTCACTTATCAAAATTAATCAAGCTACCGAAATGCATTTCGTTTTCTTAATTCCTCCGGTTATCAAAGTTTATGTGATTGTTAAAAGTTTCAGTGAACGAAATTTATTTTTTAGGACTTTCTTCAAACATTTGAGAAAATTTTCGCTGGCGGCACGGTTTTCGTTAAATCTTTTTTGAAATTATCCAAGGTCATGTTATTTATGTCACCTAGTTTGCTTGGGATAAAGCCCCAAACTCTCTAATCCGATAGGTTTAAGTATAAAGAAGATTTTGGCAATTTTTCCGATGAGATAAAACCTGGGAAACAATTTCGTTTCACCAACTTTTCGAATTTCTCGCTGTACTCCTGTTGAAAGCAAAATGTTCCATTTCCAGACATTTGTACTGCATTAAGATCAGATGGCCTATAAATACAGTGTTAAGACTATATTCTAACTTTTTTGACCTTTTTATCGAAAAGTTGAATTTGATTATTGACATTTTGCGAATCGCGCCCAACCCCATCGCGAGAGAAACTTTTTGGAACCATTTAATACTTTTCTTAGCACTGCAGATATAGGACATTTAAGCTACGTAATTATCATTATCTTTGGGATTATGAAATGGCTGTTACTGAAAAATAACCTCATTGAAAAAGATAATTTCTGCTTCTGTGTGCCTCGTTAGTAGCACTTTGCTTCTTTCCTTTCTCTTTTTGCATTGAGTAAATCAATGCTTTCAATTGGTGTTGTTGCTGCCGCCTCCCTTGTAAGCCTGTCTGCTTTTTCATTTCCCTCTACGCCTTTGTGGCCTGGGACCCATGAAGGAAGACCCTGTTGTTTGCTGTTTATCCATTTAGTCTTTCTACGCACTCAAGAACCAGTGCAGACTTGATTTCATAAGAATGAAGAGCCTTGAGTGCGGCTTGGCTATCACTTAGTATCAGGATATTTTCATTGCGATATCTTCTCTGGAGATTAATATCTGCACACAGACTGATGACGTGAATCTTCGCTTGGAATATACTACGGAGTCTGCCTATAGGAGCTGCGATCTTTGATCTTGAACGGAAGCTGCTAGCCTAATTTCTGGATGTCAGTGTCCGTCCAGCTTGCTTTTTTCACTAATTCTATTTTGAAGTTTGTTTCAAAGCTAATAACTCAGGCATCACTATGTCCTCCGCATATCGCCTGCATCGGATTCCATTGTCTGATAGCGTTTGCAGGAGCTAGGCTAGGGCTAGACTATCCTTCATTATACAGGGTGAGCCAAATAATACCTACCAATTTAACGCAGCAGGTCTATAGTTTGCGTAGCAGTGTGCGCAGTCGCTCCATCTTGCCGGAACCAAAAGTTAGGATGTTGCTCTGCTATTTGCTTGGAAATGCATTTCATCCGACATTAAAACATTACCTAAGAAATCAATTTGTGTGCCTAATAGCGTATTGCAGTCATCATTGGTGGTCTTGCTTTAAGTATCCATTATGATTTTCCAAGAGATTAACTATAACATGCAGAAAGAAAATAAAGAAAATAGCATTGGTAGGTCTTATTTGGCCCACCCTGTATCTACTATATGTGGGTTAACTAAGTCCTCTCTCGTTATAGTAATCTCGGATAGATACCGTCCACACCTGTCCACTTGTACGGATCAAATGAGTCCAACGCCCACCCGACGCTGTTTCGCTAGAAGGGTTTTTTTGCAACGCCTCAGTCGTAGGTAGGTCTAAATGGTCGAACAGACATTTCAGTGATTTGGTCGGATTTATTCGGAAAGTGTGTGGAGAGCAGGATGCGTGTCATCCGTCAGCTTGATTGCTAGTTGCGTCTCTATTATATCTTTTGCTATGGCTTAATGCAGTCTCGCGCTGCAGGACTGGATGTTATATTCCCGCAGAAGTTTCTAAAGCTTTCTCTCTTCGCTTTCATGACCTCTTTATTGTATGTAGTTAGGCTCGAGGTACAGTCTCCCCAGCAGCCGTTTTTTTGGCTAAATTGAATTTCTTCTACTAACAAAATCAATATTAATACATGCTCTTCAAATATAACGATGTTCGTTTAGATATTTTTTTTCCATTTGAGTATATAAACATCGGGTTGTGCATAAGCAAAAACATATGTACGTTTTATGCCAATTTGTGGTGATATGTTTCTGATTTGTGTGTTAGTAGGTACGGCAATATATTCATGTGTAGGTAGTACTCGCATTTGTCTAGCAACATTCAACCCGCAATTTGCATATTTTGCAAACGCTCAAAGCGCTTTCTACTATACGTAATATATGCGTCTTTGAAGCGCTCGTTTGAAAACTTTATGCGCAATTCAATTTGCCAGGTCGCGGTGCAGCGTCGGCATACGTAACTAAAGCAGCTTGCTTTACGTTCTACAACTTTTCACAAGGCGAACCTTTGTTACTGTGTTAAACTTTTGCATTTTTTTTTTTCATTTTGACAATTTTATTTTCCACTTTTCTTATATCTATTCCAGCTGTCGCGTCAACCACAACATGGCGCGCAAATGTAAACATAAAAACATAAAATAACAGTAAAAAAATGACAAGATTTGTACATTGTAGATTGACTTTATTTTTGTTTTTAACAACAACAACAAAAACTACTTACATCCACCAACATCCGCCACTTTTATGACTTTGTAACTACAAAAGCGTTGTAAATTCACGCTGTTGCGCCTAAATTTATGCAATATTTTCTGTATTTGTATGCCATTTTATTGTTGTACAAGAACACATCTACATACATACATGTATTTTTTTTTAACCTGCCATGCTGTTTACAATTCTACACAAACTAACTTCCATCTTTTTCTTTTTCTCCCTCTCATTCTCCTTTGACAGGATTTACAATCGGAAATTGAAACGCATCGCGTCGTTTATGATCGTCTCGATGGCACCGGCCGCAAGCTGTTGGGTTCACTCACCTCGCAAGAGGATGCGGTGATGTTGCAGCGTCGACTGGATGAAATGAATCAGCGTTGGAATAATTTGAAGTCGAAGAGCATCGCCATCAGGTGAGTGAAAGCCTAAGTACATATTTGAGAGTGGGTGTTGTGGAAGGAAGGAAGGAAGGAAGAAAGGAAAGCAAGTACATAATTGTTGATGGCAGTGTGGGCGCGCGTTGCAATTGTATTTGATTTGTGTGCTCCTTTGTCTGCGAAAAGTACCAGAAGTGCTGCAAATATGAAGGAATTATGCAAAGAAATTGAATTAAAAGTCGAGTAGTTAGTGCCGCAGCGCTGTGCTGTGTAGTGTGACAACGATGTCCTATGCCGACCTATTGCGGTGGGGTCGATAGTACGCGCTGCTTGATTACAATAGACATAGCACTTATGCTTCGTTATACTTACATATATTTGCAAGTAAATTATACATTGTTGGCAAGCATGCAATTGTTATCATGCCTGACGCCTTGCCTGTGGTGCAGTGAACTTTTTAAAGTGGAATTTTTGTTGCAGTTTAAGGAAGTTACACTAATTTGGAAAATTTGCCTTATTTGAAAGTTCTGGGGGCGCCTGATGCCATCAGAAAATCTGATGGATCTTACACTATGTACATATGTCGTTGCTGCTGTTAGGAATCCATTTTTCGAGTAGCAGGTTAATTTCTGACGCTGGCAGAGATATGTGACTCATTAGCGCGGCGGGAAAAGCCACCAAACTAAGCTGGAACATAGCATCAAGGGAAGTGACTTAGGAGTGTGCTGTGTTACTTGGCTCAGATTATGTGCATCCGAAGATGTTTAGGTATGGGGGTGACAGTTTTTAGGACTTCCTAATCATTTGGCCGAATTCCCACTGTTTACAGAAAAACCGAGATGATCACACGCTATCAAAAACGTTCAGGCCAAGCCGCCTGACATCCAATCTTAATGAAGAGCCTTGAGCACACGGTCGAAAAAGCATGTCCTTCAGTGCAACCAAAGTGAAAAGTCCTGTGAATTAGCTCTACGCAGAAGGAAGTGGTGCTGGAAGCAGGAGACTACACCCTGGTGGCCTGCGGCCAGGAGATATGGCGTGGACGAAGCAATCATAAGTGGGACGCATTCCACTTTATCTAGAAAAGTGTTTGACTTTGGGCGGGATATATGGTCCTTATACCATTGAAGAGGCTAGAAGAAAATGTACTCAGGGCAAGGTTACTCTCACCTCTTGTGTGGCGTTCGATAGTGAACACAAAGGAGTATGAATAAAATTGATGAATGGTGCACTTCGCAACCTCAACGAAGCAACCCTAATCAGTTTTTACGTAAAAAATATAATTGAAGCGTTTCAACGTTCCAATTTTTTTAGGCATAAACCGAAGTCTTTCCGCGGAAATTTTATACATAGGACAACCCCAGAAACAAAAGGGATTAGAAAAATTTGCGTCAAGCTAAAGACAAATCCAAAACTTGAAGTTTTCGGTCCTTACCGGAGATCCGTTATGGTATTTTTGATGTAAACAGCGGTAGTCAGAACGCTCGTCACTTACTCTTCTGTAGTATGTTGGCGTAGAATCATTTACAAAACCTTGCTTTCTACATTAAGTACTTATGATTTGGTACACACCGGGCACAGAGAGTAGTTTACAGGGTTGTCAGAGAAATATCCTTTGTGTGCGGTTCTTGAGGACAATCTGATACCCAAAAACTCTTTTGAAAGAAATTAAATCGTTACATTTTTCTACAAGGAATCATTATAAATATCCAGGCACTATCTTCGTGAGCTCGCTGACAAATTTCTGTACCAACTGCTCCTAGACTGAAAATGGAACCGAAGCTGAATGGCATATACATATAAGGTAACCAGACACTTTATTCCAAGTCTACAAAGTCTCTGCAGTACTTAAATTGGCGAATGCCAAGTTAATCTAAAGGCCTTGGAAACCGTTCACATCACTACGCAAGTAGTACAGGAATGTATATTGAAGCTAAACTCTGCATGCTTTTGCATGCACATGCGGTGCATGGACAAGGACCGCGGAGGAATCACTTTTCTGGTTGCGATCAGAGACCAAAAACATGGCCTCATACAAATTGTCAGCAATTCTCAAAAGAGTTACTCGACTCATTCATTGACAAAGAAAATATTCAATTCGCTTCGCGAATCAGGGTACCGCGCAACTAAGGCCATAGATCTTACAAAGAATATTTCCCTCGAATACTCTCAACGTCTTCTCATCTAAATTACTTGCTGGCAAGAAGTATTCATAAGCTGATCTCAGAGCTGAAGTAATGGACAATGTTTATAATGGATCCTGAGTACAGTAAACCCTTAACAAATTAGTATTACTTTGTGTGTTATCAAACTCAAGAAGTCAAAGATAGCCGGTGTAGATGCAAGAATGATTGATAAAAAATCTGAAGACGCTTGACCTTTCGTTATAAAATGAATTTACGCGGACGTGGTATCAAAGTTAACTTATATTCTTCACCTCTTGCATTTGCGATGTCCTAGTGTTACGTTTAGTGTACTTCAGAACATCAATTTCGACCATCCCTATAGCTACATAAATACATACTTACAGTCATGATCTCAATTTGCCTTGGCATTAATGACTAGCATTTTAGCTATTTGACAGCTAGTCAGTCTGTCATTCAGTCATGGATGGGTGGCAGCCAGCTTAGCTTTTGGTATCGGACCAACAGTTTGGCCAAGTCACTCAACCAGCAGTCACTTACTTGACACATGACAATCAGCAATCTGTAATGAACATCAACGCTCTTATCATCATTCTCATCATCATCAACACTACCACATATCGCTAAATCGCCACTGCTGTAGCAGCATTAGCACATAATGCATATAAATGCCAATTATGCATGTGGCAAGCGTCGCTGAATTACATACACATATACACATACTTATGTATGTGTTTGAAACTGCCACTTCAAGGCGCTCAACAAATTACTTTCATTAGTTAGCCAAGCTTTTGGATGGCCTTTTTTTGTGATCATATCTTTGCTAACATGATTTTTAGTGTTTTCTTCTTATCATCAAATTCGGACATGAAAATTAATGACCTGCGTGCCAATTTTTCTGTCAAAATAGCACTTGGCTCAAAGTGGTAGGCGGTATTTTATGTCTGGAAATGAGGAAGCTACAAATTTGATTCGCTTTTATATTTGTTACTCTTACAAGTTACGCCCTTAAAAATTAAAGGTTTGATTTAGATTAGACAGCTAAAAAGAAAGAGTACTAAAATGTTGGCCCAAAGAAATGTGAAACTACCAACTTGCCTAACTATTTAGCACTCTTTTTTTTTTTAAACTTTAAAATTGTAAAAATTATTTTTATTTCTTAGTTGAAATAAATAAATTTTTTTTTGTTAAAAATTTTTTACAAATTTCAGTAGTTTTTAGTACTTAATCGTGAAAACTAAATTTTCTAAATATATTTCTTAGATATCTAAAAAATTTAGTTCTCTCCATTAAGTACTAAAACCTACGGAAATGTTGTCTAAAATTTTTAACAACAATTTTGTACAAAAAGCTTTAGTACTGCCCTAAATTTAATGTTAAATGTATTGAAATTAAACAAAATTATTAAATACTACTTCGTAAAAATAAGAAATTTTGACTAAAAAGTATTTGCACTAAACTTTGTGTTAAAACGGTTTTGTACTAAACATTTTATCAAAAGTTCTCAGTAAACGTTGGACTAAATAATTTTTGTACTAAACTTTGCATTAAAAAGTGTTAGTAATTATTTGTTTACAAAAAGTTTTTGTTCTAAACGTTGTTCTGAAAAACTCTGATACTAAACTTTGTACCAAAAGTATTTGTATTAAATTTGCACTAAACATCTGCTGTTCCAAATTTTTAAGTAAAATATTTTTTGTAGTGTATTTTTGTTTAAACTAGATTTTTTAGAACTTTCGTTTAAATTAAAAACGATTTTTTTGAGATACTACTTGTTACGAATTTTAAATTACAAAAAAAAGAACAGTAAAAGTTTTACCAAAAAATTTGTAACTCAAATTGCTTTATTCATGAAAAATAAATAGATTTAAAATCTTTAGTTATTAAGTGACATATTCATAAAAATTTTCGATTCATGAAGCATTTAAAGCCATCTGCATATTTTACAGAATTTGGGTGTAAATTTTGGACACATTTTCGTATAACTCTAAATTTTTCGAAAGAAAGTTATTGAAAAATATAATAGTCCCATTCTTTATTTTACTAAAAAAAAGTTTGATCTCTGAAACTTTAAATTCAAATTTTAGACTACAACAAACAAACACATAAAAAATACATCCAATGAAATACAAGTTTAGAAATTTAATATCTACAGTAAATTGACATTATGTTAGATGAGTCACACGGCTATAAGTAGAACTATTGCTCGAGACTTTCCAGATCTTCCAGTATCGTTAGAGCTGTCGCCTGCCAAAAGATTTTCTTTAATTACAAATAGCGTTTTTGTAGATTAAATAATCTTTGAAAATAAGAGATTCGGAGCTTAAACATACGGCAGCGTTGATTCGGATCAACTCGGGAATTAACTGCAGTTAATCCGGATTAAGTCCCAGTTAATGCCGATCAACGTTGCCGTCTGTTTAAGCTTTTACATCACAATTTTGCACCACTTGTTCGCTTCTTTCTCATGTTTTTCAACTGATTATTTACTCTCTCATTCTCTCACTTTTCTGACGTCACACCCGGTTGCTCTCAGCTCGCAAACTTATATTCTATCATTCTTGTAATGGCTCTACTTGCATGTGTATGTCGTGCAGAGTTTCAGACAACAAATTGTTCATCCGTTCCAGATTCCTTGCATTTCTGGTCAACCTAAAAGGACTCAACCAACTACTTCAAACATGCCCAGTTTATTTGTCTGGAGTTTCTAGAGGAAGTATCCTTTGTTGGCTCCTTGGCAGCAACAAAAAACCGGTATGGGCGTGATCACAAAAAATTGTTAAATTAAGAACCTTACTCGACGATGTCCGTACATACATACGTTGCTTCTATTTATAAATTTGCGGGTACGTAATATGTTTGTGTTTTGCCGAGCTTCTCCTTCACACAAAA